GGGGGGGGGATGGGTGAGGTGAAAGAGGGGATACATTCAAATTTGTATCTCTTTACGTTTTCTCTATTCTATGGACTAATCTCAAGTAAATGCCGACAAGCGAAATGTTCCGAGTCAGGAGGAGATTATTGCTGCGTATCCCTTACCTCCATGGTGTAGGTTTTTCCCGAGCCAGTCTGACCGTAAGCAAAGATACAGACGTTGTAGCCGTCTATTGCAGAGCGGACCAGAGACGACACTTCCTCAAATATCTGTACAGACGCACGAGACAAAAGGAAAAAAAGGAATTAGAACCCTGCACACTGCAAGATAATAATATGCTTTTGCAAACTTGAGAAGATGCAGGAGAACAGAAGACAATACTTTACGTATGGTAGACAATGAACGAAGAGAGGTTATTATACGTTGTTCACTTTCGTCTATCCGTGTTGAAAAAAGTCATGCTCATTTCTTAATTTGCCAATGCGCATGAAACAACGTTGAATGGCAGCTCTGTAAGCCAGCGACAAAACCAAAATGTTTTTAAAAAACGTGATCCTGTAGCTAAAATGTTTGTTTTTTAAATTTGGGTCCTCTCTTAAACACCACCCTTCAAAGGCATACACTATGGTCTATACATGGGTTATTTTGAGGTAGCAACTTCACCTTGCCCTCACATTTCAGTGTAGTACCGTACTGCTCACCTGTGCCTGGGTGCTACTCAGACCAAAGACTTTGTCGAGGTCATATTGTTGATCTCTGCCCTTTGTGTTGTTGACCTTGAGCAAAGAGTCATCATCGATGTCAGGGGTCACAACAAGGTCACCCTCCTCATCTCCGTCCTCTCTGATCCGAGGCCGGACTCGGCAGAACACCCGGATGTTTCCTGACGTGAGCAGAGGTGAATGGGACATATGACATGATATCATGGAGAAGAGTCGCAGTTAGGGCTGAGCAATTAGTCGCTTAAGCAAAATGCAAATAATATGATATGAACCGCTTCGTGAAATAGGTTAGAACCACATAGACAAACGGGTTAGCATCACTTCAACAAATGGGTGCACCCACCTCAGCAAACGGCTCAGGAAAGAGAGTTAGGAGTCTGAATTCGGATAATGTTTAATTGAAAATGATCCAGTTATCCTTATAGTTTATCCGGATTTTGCCCACCTCTAGTAGCAGGAAGGGACCCTTGCAAAGGAACTACTGATTAATATATTAACCTGGCTGGTGATATTTCAAAGTTGTAAACACCAGCTAGATCGTGGAGTTAGAATGTGGCAAAGACCGTGACGACTTTCTAGTTTGTTTTCTCGCCCATTAAACGTTACATACAGCTACAAACACAGAGCAAAAACTTGAAGACACAGCATTCCATAACATTAAAAAATAGTAATATAATAATGCTAATAATCTATAGCGAACTACAGAAGACATGCAGTTAAACTACGGGGGCAAGGGGGG